ACCAAGCTGTAATTCGTGTGCGAAGTAAATGTCAGTGAAGCTACTAGGGGCTGGGTGTTTTTCAGGTAGCGATAGATAAGCGAACATTCTCAAAACTGTTTTGCATCCTCTTCTCTCTTATTCACACAGCTTTTACTCCAACTGGATACTCATTCCTGATTTACTTAGATGCCTCCCTCGAGCCTTTTCTACCTCTGTAACAGCATGACCATGTACCCGGCTGCTTAGGCCTAAAATGAGGAGTCGTTCTTCAATCTTTTCTTGCTCCCAGATCTCATTTCAATCTACCAGTAGGCCGTTTCATCAGCTTCACGTCCAAGCCATATTCTGAGTCCAACCACTTCTCATCATTCCTGCATCTCTTGTCTAGGCCGTGTCCTCACACCGGTCCCTGCAGCAGGGCCTAACTGGTGTTTCTGCCCCCTTTCGCACTGCCTACCTAGCAGCCCCAATAGTGTGTTGTAAAGATCTGATCTGTCACTCTCCTGTTCCAAACTTTCCTATGGCTTCCCATTCACACTCAGAATTAAAACCACGCTCCTTCCCACAGCCATGATGTGTGACACGATCAAGCCCTTGCCTACTTGGTCTTCATGCTCCTCAGCCCTTGTCCCGAGACACACCAAGCTCATGGGGCCTTACCATTGATTGTTCCTGCTGCCCGGACCGCTCTGCTCCTATGGCTTCACGTGACTGTCTTCTTGACACTCTTCCCACCTCAGAGAGCTATTTCCCAAGCCCACCTCAAGTAGCCCCTCAAGTCACTCTGACACTATTCTATTTTATTTGCTTCATCATGCTTAACTCAATCTTATTCTCCCATCCCACCCCCCACTTATATGTCTTCTTTCCCAAGTCCAAGGTCTTTGAGGAGAGGACTTTACCGTATACACGGAATTCCCGGTGTCCACAACAGTGCTTGGCACATACATGGAACTCATATACTTATTGAGTCACTGAGCAAAGGTCTCAGCACAGTGCTGAATGAATGGGAGCTCTTACTCCTCAATTTTATAGAGCAGCTCCCTTGATTCAAGAGTGGCTGGGTTCACGGGTAGCTCTTGATGTGACATGGCAATGGGATTTTAGACCTGGAAGAGGCCTTGAAGATCCTGTAGCCCAGGGATTTCCATTTTCCCCACCACCTCACAGCTGAAGACAGGTGCCTGGCAGCTGCGGTGGCTCTGCACCCACAGCACCTTAACGGAGGGGTGTGAAGGGGGTGTCATCCCTGTCTCTTCGTGCTTATCGAGATTTAAGCAGTACTGAGGAATGACTGCAGCACGGCACCCGTGCTCATGTTAAAGAACAATATGAACGTGGGGCGCCTGCATGGCTCAGTCGGTGAAGCATCTGCCTTCACTCAGGTCATGATCCCAGGGTCCTGGGATCCTGCCCCACATGGGGCTCCCTGCTCAGCGGGGAGCCTGTTTCTCCCTCTCCTTCCTGCTTGTGCTCTTTCTCTCTCAAATAAATAAATAAAATCTTAAAAAAAAAAAACTATGAATGAAATAACTCGACTTAACCTCTGGGTCAAGGAAACTACAATTCAGTTGGCTACTTCCGTGTGGGTCAGTTGCCCATGACATGCCCTTAAATACCGCTGAGCTGTTGAGGTATAAATATATCATCTGAAAGAGGATTAGGAGCCATACAGGGAAATGATAGCTGGAAGCAAGTGACAATAGCAACAATTTAAGGAGAGCAGGGTTAGGAATTGAGTGGGGATTTGCAGACAACGCTGGGGATCCCACACAGTCAGCCGTAAGCCTGGCTCCAGGAATAATGTCTGGGAGCTACGAGCCGCAATCTGCTGAGCCCTGGACAGGCCTGGCCTGAAGCCCTACTGTAAATCGTCTCCATGCCAGTTGTCTTGTGACCCAGTGAGACCCCCCTGCTGAAGCCTCAACTCTCGGGTCGCCCCCCTCGGACACTTAGGACCAGTGTTGGCCCTGAGACCACAGGGATTCACTGTATATCATGCTTCCTGCCTTTATTCATACACATTTACACCTTTTATTCTTCAGATACTTTCTCCCTAATCAATCTTTTTTTTTTTTTTAAGTCAGCTCCACCCACGCTCAGCCTGGAGCTCAATGCGAGGCTTGAACCCACGACCCCGAGATTAAGACCTGAGCTGAGATCAAGAGTCGCACATTTGGGGCGCCTGGGTGGCTCAGGCTAAGCCTCTGCTTTCGGCTCAGGTCATGGTCCTGGGTCCTGGGATGGAGCCCCACATCCAGCTCCCTGCTCAGTGGGGAGCCTGCTTCTCCCTCCCTGCCTACTTGTGATCTGTCAAATAAATAAATAAATAAACAAGAGTCGTATGTTTAACTGACTGAGGCACCTGGGTGCTCCCTATCTCTTTACTTCCAAGCTTTAGGGAAATGAGCACGTTTTGCTCACATACAAGGGGAAATGAATTTGGATTTTAGGTTTGAATATTCTGCATTTAATACGTGGACATCCGAGTACTTCCTAGCCTTTCTAGACTGTCCCTGCCTTTACCTGGAACTCACACTGATCAGATGCACTTTTGGTCTGTTTCATCTATGCACTGGAAAGGTGACTGAGTAGGCTAGTCATAACTTGGTTTTCCCTCCTGTAAAATGGAGGTAATTACTGTAACTCCTTTATTGGGTTGTTATGAAGATTAAGTAAGATAGCATCTGTAATGACTACGTAAAATGCTTGGCATAATGGGTGGTGGTGATTATAATAAGCATGTTACGTGTTTTCTCATCTAAATTAACCCTCGCATCAACTTCGGCAAATAAGTAAGACTTTGTAGCCACTCTAAGTGTTGTCCTCTTGGAGATATGAGGTCCTTTCCAGCTGGGTCTTAAATAGTCCCTACAGCACGCAAATACCTGGAGCTTCACAGGATTGGTACTGCTGTCCTGTAACTGCTACTCTGTAGTGGATATCTATTATCCCCCGGGGACGACGCGAGGTGCTTCTCAGCGATCTAATTTAACACTCCTAACCTTAATAAGTAGGTATTGTTTCCTACATTTTCCTAATGAGTAAACTGAGGCTCTGACAAGGTTAAGTATTCCGCCCAAGTTTAAAGCAGTTATGGGGTTGAACTCTTACCTCAGGTCTGACTCCAAAGCCTGTGTTTTCTCCACTCTGCTACTCACTCAAGTTGTGGTAATACTAAGTAATATAATGTAGGAAAGGATCAATGGTAGCTTTAACAAGTAGAAATGCTTTAGGAAATTAGACTACTGGCTGAAAATAACTGCCATATGTATTTCCTGTGGCATGTTCACGTAGCCAAAGGAACCTGTCTGTGATTTGCTTTGAAATCATCAAAACCAGGCCCTGAATGAGTCTGATCTGTGGAGGTCTGTCAGTAACTTTAAACAGATGATAACATTATCTTATTTAATATAAAAAGAAAATATATCTCAGAGCAGAGAGAACAACAATGAACCCAGGATTACACCTCAGTAAATAAAAAAAAACCTCACTTCCTACCTGCCTTGTGGTTCATTCCATCAGGTCCTTTTCTCTCATGACCTCCCTTCCCCAAAATATGGTACTTGGGTATTAATTCTGATTTTCGGAATAGGCACTTTTCTCAGGAGACCCAATTAAAAAAGTCCTGTCAGGATGAAGAAATTACCTTGTTTATAATCAGGAAGTAGGCTTCAAATATGCCAAATACTTTTGTCAAAGAAATACCACTAAGTTTTTATTATGTATGTAGTTTACTTGTATATTCACCTTAAAACAAGATTTTAATATGTAATTTGAAGTGCTAAGCTAAGTAATCTGGTTTATAGACTGATTTAGTCAGAAACCAACTCTAAGGAGATGCATACCTTTGAAAGAGCTCACAAGGACCGTCACTGGAGGCAAGTTTGCATAAATCACCTTAGGATACAGTGATTAATACTGTCGTTAAAAAAAATGCTTAAATGATCCATATTTAAGAATTTCTTTTAAAGTAAAAAGAGGTCACAGATTGCAGCTTTGCTAGATACGGTTCTGTTACATCACTCTTGTTTTATTGACTAGTTCTTGATGTTGAGGCTTAGACCTGGGATAAGCGTGCCTTACACACTTGTGAATGACACCATCGACCACTGAGCGGAAAACTGAGTGAGGTCGTGGGCACGAGGCTGTAACTCTTTTCATGTTAATGACAGCACTAGAAGTCTGACGCCTAAGCAGTGTGCATTCAAAGCACCGATACCTGAGAGTGGGCCGGGGAAAAGGGGCCCGGGATGCCAGTTTAAGGGGAGAAAAACTGAGAAGTCATAACGACCCCAAAGATAGGAAGGAAACCGCAAAAAGACACGGATTGGATTGTGCTGTAGAGAGGAAACGAATCGCTCCCTTGGGGTTCCTATACCAGCAGTTCCAGCACATGGTAGCTTTGCCTCTTTCAGGCTTTTAACTCCGATTTAATTTCATGGAAAAGTAGACCTCTCCAAAGAGAAAGAATGCCATTTACCAAAAGAAAGAGGCCTTGTCAACATGGGGTTTAATAAGGAAAAATATTTATCCGTGCCCTGTACAGTTTTCAAAAGCCATTATTTCCATTTACTGTTTGGTATTTTCTACAGTGCTGGTTACAGAGCTAACAAAAGCCTCCTGAGTGAATGAATCACAGGATGATAAAGGTGATACAGTGATTTCTCGAGAGCTCAGATTCTGCAACAGTGAGCCTTCCAAGCGGCCTGGTGAGGGTCTGGGTCACAAGAGGAGTTCAGTGCATGAGACGCTGCCCACTGCATTCATGTTCAAGAATGTCATGCTTAAATGAGGTAAAATTTGGAGGTTACCATCCCTAAACTAGCATTTGCCAGCTAGCACTGAGGTAAATGGGAAGAACTTTAACTGTTCGGTGTTAAACTAACCAAGTTAACCAAAGGTTCCTTCTAGGTGGCTCAAAAGGGAAAATGTGCGTAAGGAATATTTCAAAGATTGACTTTCAGATGAAATGAAACAGATTAAAATCAGCACGATCTAATCACTGAACAGTAACAGAGTAACAAAATACAAACTTGATTCTCTTGGCACACAGCAAAGTGGTTTGCTCACATTTGTTAAAATCAGAACTGAAAGGATGAGTGTACAGAAGAACAGGTCAAGTGGTTTTTCACTCTAGTCCAGTGTGTCACTGAAGTTCGGCCCCTTGCTGTGAGCTGATCAGGGCATGTGCGGTCACGCGGGCTCCACGGAGCAGTCAGGTAGACTCATGGTCGAGCCTCTCTATCTCAACATACATTTCTGACCTCCTCTTGGGTCAAAGACCAGCACCAGCAGACTCGCTGAGATTAGGACTTGCCTTCTTTTTCTTCTGGTACCGTTTCCCAGATTGGCTCCTTGATGTGTTCTGGTAACTGTTCTAATTTGGTCTAAAAAGAGAAAAACAGAACTATAACATAATGTGGACTTCACTGAACTCTTTGGCCACAGATGGGATTTATTCATTTTGTTCCCTCAAGTCTTCTTGTTTTCTTTTTCCCTCTCACTCCCCCTTATCTCTGTGTAGGGCTCTCCAACAAGGAGAAGGAACCTGGACGGTGTACAAAACACTCTCACACAGATCACTCGGCGATCTCCAGGGACTGCCAATGAATGTGGCCCCTCTGTCCACTACTGCTAAGGGGGAGGGAGACCAGGGATGGCTTGGGGAGGACGTGGGCTGTTGGCGATACGCAGGGAGGCAAGGACCCCCACCACGGTGGCAACTCAGCCCCCAGTCCGCCTCAGGCACTCCCCACCACTCCGCGGGCCGGGACAGGGCTGTGAAGTAGCAAAACAATAATACACACCTCCTACCAATGGAGCCAGAAATTCAAGTCATACCTTTGTCACTTCCATGGCAACTCCTTCAGGTAAGTTACGCTGAATATATTCCAAGTAGACATCTGCTGTACTTCCAGTTAGATGTTCTAACTAAAATTTCAAACATGAAATTGGTTCATGATATGCTGTTAAAGCAGAAATTTTAAGTTTTTTTTTTTTTTTTTTTAAAGTAAAAGCAGTATAGCCTTTTCTTTCGCTATGAAATCTTACACGGAATTCCAACTTTGTTTTTTTTAAGACAGAGAGAAAACGTGAGCGCAGGTGAGGGTGGGAGGGGCAGAAGGAGAGGGAAAGAGAATCCCGAGCAGGCTCTACGGGCAGCACACAGCACAGCCTGGGCTTGATCTCATGATCCTGAGACCACAACCTGAGCTGAAATCAAGAATCAGACACTTAACTGATTGAGCCACCCAGATGCCTCCAGAATTCCAGCTTAAAAGGAAAAAAAGTATTGGGGTGTCTGGGTGGCTCAGCTGGCTAAGCAACTGCTCTTGGCTCAGGTCATGATTTCAGGCTCCTGGGACTGACCCCACATTGGGCTCCTCACTAAGGAGGGGAGCCTGCTTGTCCCCCTGCAACCCCTCCTCTCTCTGCTCACATACAGACACTTGCGGATAAATAAATAAAATCTTTAAAAATAAATAAATAAATAAAAAGAAATAACTAAAAATAAATAAATAAATAAGATCTTCTGGTTGATTGGAAGGGGCGAGCACAGTGCACTGGATACCTTAAAACCAGGGCTCTATGGAACCCAGCCGGCAAGTGCAATTTACCTGCATTTGTTTTCATGACATTTACTAATCATTTACTATGTAACGGGAGCATTCTAAGTGCTTTCAATAAATACCTCATTTAATCCTCACACTAAACTTACGAGATGCATACCAGAACCGCTCATTCCACAGATGAGGGAACTGAGGTGCAGACCACACTGCTGGGATGTGCCAGTACATGAACCTGATTCCAGAACCCTTGCCTCCTTAACCACAAGACCACACTGACCCGACTGGATGCACAAACGAGTAACTGACGAATGAAAAACCTTCCTGTTTCCCGTTGTGGACATGGAAAACCCACTAGTGTGTGAGAAGAATCACTAGAACTATGTAGGAACTTAACTAGAATTTATGAAATATAAGCCAAATCCTTCCAAGGTTTCATACTGTATGAAAATTAGCATAACCTGCATTGCTGAGTTGAAGTACAAACTGCTCTGAAGGATGGCTTTGAGTCTCATTTCCTATCATTTACCTTCTCTCCAGCCAAAAGCCACCGGCTGACAGAAAGTCCACCCAGTCAACGTCAAAGGAACAGTTACGGGGTGCTAGTGTGAAACCCCGGGCATTTCAAAAATGCTTCAATGTCTGAAATTAACTCACCTCTAAACATCTGTAAAGTGTTCTCATTTCATACTGAACTCTGTGCTTCTTGAAAATATGCACTGATTTGAGAAGAGTAAATCGCTCTATTTTCCTTGGAGGTTCATGTCTGAAAAATCAATGGGCAAAACAACATACTAAGCTAAGTGATGTTAAAACCTGAGTCACCGATAGCAAAGCATGATTCCACAATTTCGCAGGCGGGGCTCATAATTACAGGCATTAGCTACCACTTACAGACTTGCAGCCGTCAAGACTGTCACGCGTTAACAACTGCTGTCATAAAGCTCAGGCCAAAGTAAACACAGCAGACGGCAAGGGGAACAAATATCCCACAGACCCAGAACTGAGCCTTGGCATGCAAGGGCAGAGTGCATGCCTCTGGCTCTTACCCACCGCCCTCACCTTAGTCTGGTTTTGGCTAAATGTATGAACTGTGAAGAGTGGAACCAGTGCGTTGCTGTGTGTGTTGTTTTAGGGAAATCTGCAAATCTACCAATAACCACGAAACTAAAAAGTCTATTATGGAAAAGGTGTAGGTTCCTTCTGTTTTCTTATAAAGCAAGCCTGGCAAAGCCCTAAATGGGCCTTGGTCAGCACCAGAAGGAGCAGGTGACAAAAGAGGTGCAGCAGTGCCCCCCCTTATCCATGGTTTTGCTTCCAGCAGTTTTAGCCGCCTGTGGCCAACCACAGTCCTGAAGCAGGTAAGTCCTTCTGAAAGAGTCAGTAGGTTAAGAGCAGCCTAACGTGACATCACAGTGCCTACAGCACTCAGCTCACTTTGTCTCACTGCCTGGGCAACTCATCATCTCACATCATCCCAAGGCTGAGTACAGTACAAGAAGGTATTTTGAGAGAGGGAGAGAGAGACAGCATATTCCCGTAACTTTTATTATAGTATATTGTTGCAATTGTTCTATTTCATGACTGGGTATTGTTGTTAATCTCTTACTGTGCCTAATTTATAAATCACTTTAGCACAGGCATATAGGCATAGGAGAAAAAAACGACATGCAGGATTCAGTGCCCTTCCCAGGTCTAGGCACCGGCTGGGGGTGCTGAGTGCCCTCCAAGGACAAGGGGGAGACTACTATAGTTATACTTGACCCAGCAGTGATTTCAAGGTCATCTGAAGCTTGCCTTGCTCCTGTGTGAAATGACCAGGTGAGTGATGCTTCCAGAGGCAGTTTTGAAATAATAGCTATTAGCAAAGACCATCAGAGTCTAAAAAGATTAATTTTTCACCTAATTCACTTCCCTGCCCCACGGAGTCTCTAGACATTAGGGCTTCGTGGGTCTCCTTATGTCTGTGCAATTGCTAAAGAAAGGATTTCCTTTATTTTCCTTGTTCACTCATTCTAGTTTTTAAAAATTCTAGTAGACAGGAATCCTGATTAGGATAACACAACAAACCTAAACTCTACCCACTCTGAGTTTCTATGCTACCTTAAGGCCTCAGACCTAGATGGAATCAGCACCATTTTTCAGGTTGATCATGTTATAGCAGCTAATAGGTCAGATTAGGAAAGATCATACTTACATTTTATTTTATTTTTTTAGAAGATTTTATTTATTTATTTGAGACAGAGAGAGATCATGAGCAGGGGGGAGGGCTAGAGGGAGACGCAGACTCCCCACTGAGCAGAGATGCCCCCTCAATGTGGAACTCAATCCCAGGATCCTGGGATTGTGACCCCAACAGAAGGCAGACACTTAACCTGACTGAGCCACCCAGGCGCCCCATACTTACACTTTAATAGAGATACCAAGTTCTTTCGCAGCAAGCACTGCAAAATATTCATAACTGTCCAATACAGCCTTATCATGGCCTTTTACTAAAACTGACAGGCGCTTATATAATGTATCTGGTTCATCAGAGATGGTTATCTACAATTTTAAAATAAAAAACAAAAGTTTCAGTTATGGTTCCTCTAGTATTTATAATTGGAAAATTTCATGTGTTATCCTCAATTGAACAATTTCAGAGTTTACTAATAAACGGGGTGAAAAATGCTGAGTAACAGCTTAATACTATTAGCTTAATTACCCAGCTACTTTCACATTCAGATCTCCACAATGACTCCTACAATCCGTTAAAATAAAGTTTAAATCAAAAGGATGTTCAAGCAACCTACAAAGTCACTAATGGAACCTTCTAACTTCATAGTTATTGATATTTGATACTGATACTGATATCTGATCCCAAATACATAATGGGAAAAGATTTCGGGGTCTGTTAACAACGTAGCCTGGTGAGAAGGTCAGAAGATGTGGACTGGGAATTAAACTGCCACTTCCAGCTGAGTAAAAACAGGCAAGTCCCAGGATTTCACTGCACGACAGTTTGCTCGTATATAAAACAGGATCATCCTTATGCTAGAGTTCACAGCATTTCTGTGGCCAAGAAATAACAAAACACTGATGAAGTGCTTAGAAATTATAAAATGTTGTTACACAAAGGCAAGCTATTGCTATTCATATTTTTACTAGTTTTCTTTTCGATTTTGTTAGAGCGAGAGTGCACAAAGCAGGGAACAGTGGCAAGCAGAGGGCAAAGCAGGCTTCCTGCTAAGCAAGGAGCCCAGTGCAGGACTCGATCCCAGGACCCCGGGATCATGACCTGAGCTGAAGGCAAATGCTTAACTGAATAAGCCACCCAGGCGTTCCTTATTAGGTTTTATTCATGTATGTTTTGCCTGCCCTAATAGAAAAATTCCTCATTTCTAATTAAAATGTTATGGCACTGACTGTACATTTAACTTCTCCCTCTTCTACTCTAATACTTAAAGATCTTAGGAATAATGGGTCTGACATTTCTGACTTTCTTCCAAGAGATGAATTACATTCACCTTCATTCGTCCATTAGACCAGTAATTTATCTTACTAATCCAATGATTCAGGGTTAAATTACTTCACTCCTGAAAGGAGATCTACTTATTAACCAGGAAGCTACCTAGACATTTACTCTCAATTACCCCAAATACAGTTGCTGGAAGAAGAGACTATGCTGATATTCTGTATCATAAGTCGGGGGACTAGGGAAAGGGAGTAGAGCTCCAAGATGTGTTTTGACTGGTCCCTGTAGGGCTTTAAATATAATCCGAATCTGTTGTGATAGGAAAAATCAAGAGATTTTGAATAAAAATTTGGATTTCAGGTTAGCTTGGAAAACTTAAGACTTCACTAGTCTAACCTCCCACATGGCAACATGTGGCTGGAGTAAGTGGTAGCTGTCTCACTTATAAAGGGCACAGCCTGTCACTGTGCCCACGCCACCACCTTTCCTTACAGACTTGCCCATGAGAACACCTGGCGTGGAGGCCCAGGGTTCATATGTACTTTCATGGAAAGAGATCCAGCATCTATTCAGTGAAAACAAATCAAAAGAGCAGTACATGATGTATAGCAGAATTCCAGTTTGGCGAGCACATGCATAGAGAGGATGGTTACACACAGACAAATGTCTAGAAGGAGTCATACTGAACGGTTAACAAGGGATTATTTTTGAGGGGTGGAACTGAAAAGATCCAGAATTTGTAAGGACTGTTTAAACCACAATTGACACAAAAACTGGGTTGATAAATTATGGTTCTTATTTAAAGGAAACAAGGTTACACAGCTACTTCTAGCTTTTCTTTGCCAGTGGTAATGCTCTTCCTTACTGTGAATAAGGACTGTCCAAGCCCAGCCTTAATGCCTTAAAGTGGAAACAAAGACTTGAAGCTTCCAAGAAAAACATTTTCTATAACATAATATGAAGTATTCTGCATCATTAATTATGACTACTCGTCACCCTGTGCTGAGCTAAAGCAAAAGTCTGCTTCTTCTGACAGTAATTAGTTAGTTGGGGTAAATAACCAATTCCCTGACCCCCTGAAAGATGGTATGAGCATGCAGGGACGTTAGAGTACTTCACTCAGGCACACTGTGCCCTGCCAGTATTCCAGAACAAAACATTTTTGTCCATAAGGTGTTTGGGAAACAGCCTCAAATGAAATACAGAGGAAAATCTATTGCTAATACAGCTCTTTATCAAGAAATAGGAAGTACATGAGTGCTGTGAACTGTGTAAACCTGGCAATTCACAGACCTGTATCCTGGGGCTAATAATACATTTTATGTTTATTTAAAAAATTTAAAAATTAAAAAAAAAAAAAAAAAGAAATAGGAAGTACATACCTTAGGCTTGGTCAAATCCTTGGGAATATCAACGTGTAGGTTTGAAAACTGTACCCATTTCATACTGGTACTGCTATGTGTGGAAACAAAGGAAAAACCTAAGTGATATAGCACAAAAGCCCATTTCCTTATTCAATTTAGCACATCTAATTACATACTTACAGGAGAAAGCCACCATTTCTGGCTGTACTGCTCTTAGAAGGGTTTATAGAAAAATTCCTTGAACCCTAAAAAAAGCGGGGAGCATGTTTTAGAATTAAAGTCAATCCTTAAACATTCAGTTTCCACTAAAAAAAAAAAAATTAAAAGATGTACAATGCTTCAAATTAAGGACTCATTATTTCAGATGAAGATACTAGGATAACTAAAATGCCAGATTAGATTTCATTTAAAAACAAGAGGACAATGAAAGAGTTGATAATCAAAACAACTTCTCAAAATACTACAGCATCTATATTTCTTAAAGCTTCACAGTAAGAACTTTTTAAAAAAGCACTTTACACAGACACACACAAGCAATTCTCACACTGAAAGAACATCTATGATTTTAAGTATGTGGACATCAAGGAAAAAGTGACTTCATTTTCCCATTTTTTTAATGTACTACAATATAATACTTACCCTGCCTATTTCTGAGCAAGTCTCTTTTTAATTTATTTATAAGAACTGAAGTAAGAATTCTAAAGTACCCTTTTTGTGAAGCTTTCATACATCTTTCTACTGTAAGTTTCTTGGCTTGGCTGGGAGATTTATAAATAAACTGAAATACAGTGAAACACACATCATCTTGCACCACTGCTGTACCTCACACTCCCAACAATCCAGCCTTTCCACATCCTTTATTGTCAGCTCCCCCTGGTGGACAAAACTTCTAGCTGCAAGACACCTACGGTACTATATCTAATAATGTAATTTGCCATCTGTTTCCCCCTTGAGCTTTCCTGAGATTTAAAAATGTAACCTGGGAGGGGTGCTGGGTGGCATAGTCAGTGAAGCGTCCGACTCTTGGTTTTGGCTCAGGTTGTGATCTCAGGGTTGTAAGATCCCAGCCCTCTGTGGGACTGTGTATTCAGCAGAAAGTCAGCTTAAAACACTCTCCCTCTGCCCCTCTACCCCATGCTTGCTCAATCTCTTTCTCTAAAATAAAAAAAAAAAAAAAAAAAAAAAAAAAAAAAAA